ACGTGGTTCAAACTTTGTTGACCAAAAGCAACCTAGTTCCTGGCCTCTACAGCCGTATTACACCGGCAGTTGGATACTCTAGAAGTAGCATAATACCAATTAATGATTCAGTTATATATATATACAAGTAAAACAGCGGATGGGCGCTGACGCAACGGTGCGTTTTGATAGGTCTCCTGAAGCAGCAGTTTTACGTCAAATGCAACGCTCTTGGATGCGCGAGAGGAAATTGGGATGCCGCAGGTTGATTGGGCTCAAATCGGATTTGAGAATGCAACCTGGGGCAAATTGGGATGGACGACTCCGGGAGTCGGGTGATGAGTAGATGAAAGAGAAAAAAAGATATAATCGTTCTGAACTACTTCAGATGATCATGGTTCCTTAGCTCTTCATCGTCTCATCTTGCACTTGGCAAAAATAATGCTTCTGTTCACGCCTTCATTTGCCATGCCAATCGTCCCCGAATTTCGTCCAATAATTACCGTTACTTCGCTTAAGCGACTGACAACATGACTGTTGGCGTGAAGACAGATGTCTTCTCTTGCCAGTCCGTCTACCGTCTTGCTTGATCAGCATGGATGCGAGTCGCTTCTTAAACTTGGACTGAGCTTTGGCTTTTGTTGGCTCTCGTTTTAGTCGCTCAAATTCCTCCACAATGTGAGGAATGATAGCAGGGATTGTCCAAGGATTAGCGAAGAATTCGGATGCCGCTAGCGACATCCAAGTCAACGGCTCGGCGCGTTGAACAATTAATGTCGGGTCGAACACAAGCGAAAATTCCCAAAAGCGAGGCGACTTTTCGTCAGTAGTGATAACGCCTTGGGCCATTGCGAGAGCAAACACCTCCTGTCTCAAAGCCTTCTTGTAGAGCGAGCAAAACTGTGACACGTTGAGTTTCGCTATGTTGGTGGTAACCGCGGACCTTCAGGCGTAGCATCGACAGTAGCTGTAGAATTGGCCACTAACATTTCTTGATCTTGGGGGTACAGTTCGGTGGGTAGCTCAACTTCAGCAGTCGAAATGGAAGGACCTCTTGGTGGGTCCTGGGCAGAGAGCGGCTGAAGCTCCTCTTGATCAGTACGCAGTAGAACTTTGTCGGACGTAGGATCGTTACAAAGTCGTTTTGAAGCCGGGGTCCATGCACTTCTTCAATACCTTGTTCATACTCCTCTACACTGTCCAATGGTTGAGGCTCCTCTTGAATTGTCGGAAGTGGATTGTGCGCCCTGTCGGAAAGAGCAGGCGGGAAATCAGAGTCACTAACGGCAGTCAATATGGTGCGCTCATCCCTTTTGTAAATCTCAAGGCTTTTTCCTTGCTTGAACACGATTGGGGCGTCTTCTCGCGGGTATCGTGGTCGAATGACAGAGCGGGTAAAAATTTGGCGATGAGCTTTCTCATCATCGGGTTCAGTGACAATAACATATGTAAATGCATCACCAGAGTCAGGACTGAAGCCGAGGAAACGCGCTTTCATCATTCTCTGTCGTGGGAACGCTCCGTGAGGAGTATAAAACCAGACAGGTTGCCAAAAAGAGAATCGACACTTGCTAATGTCGGGAACTGCGCCAAACTCAGCTTCCCATGACGTTCTGTTGTTCAGAACTCTCTTTGACGTTCGTGCTTTCACAAAAGCAACATATTCCAAACAATAACACCAATATTCGGCAGGGGCGCCAGTCAATAGCAAAATATGTTGAACCACATGTTTTAGTCTGCCTCCTCTCAGTTCGGCAAGGTTCTGCTGAGGGTGCTTGGGTTCAGTGTATTTGGCCTCGACTTGTGCTTTGCGAAGTTTGCGTTTGAAGTGCTTGGACTTGAATTCTTTTGCATTGTCAGACTTCAAAGTATGTGGGGTTCCACAATGTTCAAAGTGGGCATCAAGCGTTTCCGGAGATTCACTCTTGCGCTGCATCAGAACCGGGTGGTCGTAGCCAGATTTCTCACCACAAAATAGGTTGAAGTATTGAAATCCGCGGACCGATTTTACATTTGCCTTGAACGTATCCAAATAGTCTCGATCTCGCCGTCTGTGGTAGCGGAGGCAAGATAGTCTTGACTTCAAGTGGTCTCTCATTATTTCACGGCTCTCTGCCTCAACAACAGGTATTAGTTGAGTGGTCGCTTCAAGAGTATGTTTCAAGACATCATCAGGGGGAAAAGCCATGGTCCGTTTCCAATCAATTTTGTCCGTGTTCATTCGGCGAGTTGTAGTCCGGCTAGTCGGCTCGTATTCCGCATCGCCAGTGAGAACAATTCTTGGCAAAGATGTAAGTTCGTCATTGGTGATGGCCTCCATTCGATAGTAGCACTTCAATCCATCAAAGAATAATGGGAGCGTGTGCTTTTCTTTTCCCGAACCAAACACACAACATTGGGTTCCAAAGTCCCCGCGAGTCGTCTTCGCGTCAGATGGGCAATCATCAACTGCATTGCCCGCATTACGTATTTGCGCCGGTGGGAGTAAGGATTCATGCTGGTTTGGACTCGTGTCGTGAAGGACTTCGTTGGCGACTGCACACCTTGCCTTGCCAGCAGCGTCAATCAATTTTCCGACGACAGATGCCACTGGCAGAACCGTTCCAGAATGTCTACCTGCCAAAGCTCCCATGAGCTCAACCAGTCTTCACGTAGTACTAAGTCTCCTCCAGATGTAGCCTGCCAAGAATTGGTCGGCGCCACTGTCCATGATCAAGACGGGCTCATTAGGTTCAGGAGGAGAAGTGGTACGGCGGAGCACACGCTTTTTTGTTGGTGTACGTCCGCGTGCTTGTCAGTTGCAAGTGGTGATGGTGTCGTTGAAAGAGACATCTTTGCCGTTCTTGCTGCGTCGAAGGCGGGGGTTTGCACTCACAATTCTCTACCGTATATCAATATCCTGACCTCCCACCGTACACCTACCACCATCAGTGTTGGTGTTTGTACTAGACATTGATACCTATAGGTGATACTGTAGCTCTCGGGGCTATATGTGGGTACATTGCCACTGCTGTGATTTTCCACAGACCTACATGACATTCCTGACCTTTGGAAAGGAATTGGGATATTGAGTATTGTATGGGCAGAAGAACACTCAGGGGTAGTCAAGACTCGAACTCGAGACCTCTGGCTATGCGACTGTTAATCGTCAACATAAACTCATAGAGTGACTAGATGGTGATGTGATGAGTGAGTTGGGAACGGAATATGGACAGACGATCTAGTAAGTCGTAAGACGACTAACTCGATCCTGACACAAATTGAAAATGCAAACAAATAATGACGAATCTAACACAATTACACTAGAGGACGCTAATCATAGGACGGCCATTCTCAATATCGTATTGAACCAAAATGAGGCAAGCAGTGAATGCAACTTGATGCTTGTCCATTGCATAACGAAAACGAGTTCCAATACTGTCAAAACGTTTCAATCTCTCGGTTTGGAAGAGTGTTTTCGGTGATGTATGTCTCCATTATCGATAAGTTTCTTGAGCTCTTTCTTCGCTTCACTCGTTCTCCAATCCTTCAAATATTGTCCCGCATCATAGTAGGCTATTGGCAGTGAAGAGTACTCTCATTGAGAGTATTGGATCGTCCAAAGCCGATGCCAAATCAAATACTGATGGTGTAATAGTGGTTAATCCATATTAGCGATTTGTTGGAAACAGAAAAACATATACATAGGGGGAGTTGATAAAACAGGGAGTCTGAATAAATCTTCCTTTTCTCGACAAAAGTTCACTAAAAGTTCCCTTAAAAGTTCCCCGAGATTACCCGTGTGAAAATGTTACCGAGGGATAATAAATTAGCGCGCATTTGAAAACATCTAGTCTGGTTTTGCGGTTTCGATTTCCCTACCTATGCCCGAATTTGCAACACGGTCCTGTATTTTGAGCACCGGTACCTTACCGGTAGTTATGTAACATTCCACCTATAATGTAAACATACCGATGTAAAATACAAGAATATATCATGCCTACCGGTACAGGCACCTCTAGAGTGTTCCCAAAAATACGGATGACAACACCTGCTTCGAACCAAATCGCGATTGGTGACAAAAAACAGCGACAGCCTGGCACATGATGGCACGAAAGATTCTCAGATTCCTGAGTTGACGTGATTCTCGTTTTTCAAAGCCAATTCGAGGACAAGACAAGAAGTCCATTCATTCCACATCGATGATCTTGACAATCGGTATTGATCTTAAAGGGAGGGAAGGGAAGACAGGCAAAATAACTAGAATAGCGGTAAGCTTCTTATGCTATTAATTTCTACAATATCATGATGAGTTTGAACATAGCATTAATTTATTATCCTTCTCTTCTTGTTGCTAGATGGTTTGCAGTTTATAACCTTCACTGAGGTCACCATTTCTTGATTGTACAGACTAACTTCGCGCAAGAGATCCCTCTCACTTCGCATTACTGATTTGTTGCCATCCAAAGCAAAACCAAGAGGCTTCGCATGGTCAGAACTCATTACTGAAAACGATGTGCTTTCAAATGTCGCAGGTCTCCAGAGAAGTGCTATAACCTCTGGGGAGAGGTCGTTGTAAAAGATGAGGGCTTGATCACCAAATACTTGACGAAGTGATGCCACAAGATCGGAGATCGGCCTCCACGAGGTGCACAGGGGCTCTTCCACATTCGCATCAAGGTTCCGATAGATCTTTCGCCCGAGTGCTTTGGGTCCAGCATATCTGGCTTTCATACTTCTAGTGTAGGCACTTTCGACGATTCCTTCTTCATTTTTGGTGTTCCTCAAGGATTCTGATGTTGAGCTTGAGCTCATGTCAAAATTAAAATCAGGGTGAACACGAAAAAGGACATTGTAGGACTTAAATCCCGTTGCCGATTCACGAAAAATTGAAAGCGAGTCAGATCCTTTGAAGTTTCGAATACAGCTGATCAAGGCTTTGTGTGATCGTCTTGCAAGTGCAGCTGCTCTTGAAAGGACTACCCACTCCGGAGATGTGCAGCTTGGTCGCCACGATTCCCGTTCGCTGTCATTCCCCACTTTGTTATCTTCAGAGTTCACTCTCGTGTAAGGCGCGACGATGTACATTGCAGGCCCATCGTCCTTATCACCACGTATGTCTTCAAAGACTGCATTGATTGCATCATAGTCATCATTGTCAATATGGCCTCGCGGATCGACAATGAGTGGATCCCTAAAACAGATTGTGAGTACCAGGATGAGCCATATCATGGCGTCTGAACAATGCTATACGCACCTTGCCCAGTTGTGATTTCCTAGCAGGAACAGAAATGCAAGAAAGCCTGCTTGCAAAGTTCCAGGAACAGCGAGGAGGGCTTCGTCTTCGCTGTACACTTTCGCAACCAACAACTCGATAGACTCTATGGTCACTAGGCCAAAGAGCATGTGGCTGGCCAACCAGCGTTTAGCCATACGGACGACGGTTCCGGCCGATGGGTGCAGTGTATGGACAGCGTGAATTGTCGAGTGATGAGTTGCAGCCATGACGTGCTTCTTGGTATAATCGTCCAGTAGTTTCATTGCTTCTGCACTTGGCTGAGAAAGACCTTGGAGCATTCGAATTTCAGGATCAGCACGAACCATGATTCGAAAACAATATCCCATGTATCCAACTTCAGCATACGATGAGTTGACCAAAACACTTCCCGCAAAGCCCTCGTGACGAGAGCTCTCAATTCCTTCTGCAAGTTGAACCAGCATCGCTGTTTTCGCTGCTCCAATGGCCTTTAGATCGTTGGGCCATTTCGAAGATGCACTGAATCGAATTTGAATTAATATCGGTTCTGACGTCAATGCACCAGGGATCTTCTTTGTTTTAACTTTCTCTCCGCCCAGTAATGGGTGAGGAACAGGCGGAAATAGCTCGGAGTACCTTAAACAAGGAGATAGTGGTTCTACTGCATCAATTGCAAGTGGCAGCCCAAGATTGGAGCCTGTATCATTGCCAAGACGAGAGCTCTTCTGCAAGAAATCTGACAGTGAATTGAATGCCGACATGATTTTTTGGTGAGACGCCACAGGGTTTGCGAACGGCATGGAGGGTTCACACGACGACACGCCATCCACAAGAGACGAGAGATCCGACAGAGAGAACTGAATTGGAGCTTTCGTGAAATGTTTTGAAACGATGTATGTCATGATCTTCTCAACATAACCGCCTCGAAATGTGCTGTCATTTCGAAATGTAGAAGCGTCAGTATCATTCCAAACAACAGCATGGACAATCGCACCGTCTTTGAACCTTCGGAGCTGAGCCTTGTCACCCCAGAGATCTTTAAACGAACGAAGCTCCGCTGACTTTTCCGCTGATGGTCCTCGGTCGACAGCCCGCTGACTTGTCTCAGGATTAATGGAAACACCAAGTATTATGCTGGGCCGTCCAGTTGGGGATTGAAAACCCAACTGTGGTAACGAGACGTCCCCATCCCTAATTTGCCTAGCCAAATAATTGTCACCTTCCTTTCCATCGTTTTCGTCACCATTCCCAGTACTCAAAACACGCAACCCTCTGATTCGATTACCCAAAGCATCATCAAGTAATTGGACTAGTTTGCGGCAGTGGCTTTCCCATTCCTTTGATTTGTCAATTGGAATCTGTACATAAAGATCCCAATTGTTCCAAAATCGCATTGGCCTCATAAATAAGAATGCGAAAGCCACCCTTGGCTGCTTCAGACTTGCAAGACTTCTTCTTGCGTGCGTCTGAAGTAGCCTTGTGTAGTTTGGCGACACATCTCCCAAGAAATTGTAGCACAATGTCGAATCCAAAAAGACCGGGCCAAGATGGTAAGAAGCAACCGACGCGTATGCATCAAGCAGAGTACGTGGGTCGTTTTTTGTTAACGGCGAATCCCTGGTTTGCTGCTCATAAACCCGAGCCAGTGCAGATTGCCGAATGGTCTCCTTCTCGCTGACACCTTCGGAAGGCAATACAAGCACAGTTCGTCGCCCGTGCGCATGGTTGGCGGTTCTAGATATCTGCCGCTCTACAGATCTCATATTTGTGTCCTCAACAGCTTCTTCTCCAAGCCATTCGGTTTCTGCCAAAGTCTGGAAAAGAACAGTGATCAACTGTATTGGCGTCATCCGAGTGTTGATTTTGTGCGTCCTGAGAAGATAAACAAGAAGCAAAGCGAAGCACTCTTTCGTCCACCCGTCATGATTTCGCCAAAGACCTCTCTGAAGCGCCCAAACCTGAACTAGCACAAGTGACGCTTGGATATTTTCTAGATCGACAAGTGAGCTGAGATGGTTATCTTCGAACTGGTGACGAGCGTCAAACATAATGGCATGATTGTACTGCTGCGTTTCGAATGAAGACAATGCAGCTTTCACATTGGATCTGTTTGGGACAAGTCGAAGTTTTGGAATCCAATCGATTGAATGCATTCCAAAATGCAAGTGAACTTGGAATTTTGGAGATTTCCCATTGTTCGGAGGAACCAGTCTCAAAACTGGGGCACGGTCTGATCCCTTCAACCAAAGATATTCAATATTGCCCACTGTCTCTGCATTCTTACATAGACATTTTGCCACTTGTTCTATGACGTATTTTCGTTTCTGATTCGTCAAGGAAGTACAAGTTGGGGAAAGGAAATCGATTATGTGAACCAAAGAAATGAGAAATGTGTAACTTACGTCGATATAGCGATGATTCAGATAATCCTTCTTCGATATGGAAATTTCTGGAACTTTGACACAGAGATCAAATGTCGGTAGAACCTGTGCATTTCCTGATTTTTTGGTCCAGGCAATGGGCGTTTTAGTCAATCCGATCGGCTCCACTGTCAACGGATTGTCTCTTTGAATTTCAAGAGAAATGGGCTTATCAGCCTTGTCCTTGAGCTTTTCCATCTTAAAAGCGGTCTTTGGAACCAAACGCGAGATCATCTGCAAGTATTCGTTCGCATCTGATGCCCATCTGCGACTTTGGAGGTCAAGTTGACATTCGTCAAGGAGTTCAGCAACTTGCATTCGCATCAAGTTGGACTTGTGGAGATTCATCGCCGAGGATGTATCAATCGAATCCAAAAGGGCCGCATCTTGTGTAACCGATGATTGCTGCGTCATTTTGGGATCTGCTGGATCACGACGATATTTCCCAATTTCAGAATCTCAAAGTGGCAGTTTGGTTGGTATCAAGTTCATGGTTTTGTTTTCAATGGTTGCGCGCGATGCGCACGGCTGAGCAAGAGTGCTGAGAAATGAAGCATTCCACTTTCATTCATTCATTCATTCGTTCACTCCGTGTTATTTAATCAACACTACACTTCTCTTTGAACAACGAAACAACTGTGAAGATGCCGCGTCAATCAGGAATGGCCGATCGGGAACCTTGTCCTTGGAGAATTGTCGATGACGTCGGCGGTGCATTCTGCATGGGAAATGTTGGAGGTGGAATATGGCACACCATCAAAGGAGCGCGCATGGCACCATCTGGAGCAAGGATTGCAGGATCTCTGTCAGCAGTGCAAGCACGAGCACCTGTATTGGGTGGCCAATTCGCTGTTTGGGGAGGTTTGTTTGCATGTTGCGATTGCTCGTTAACTGCCGTTCGTCAGAAGGAAGATCCGTGGAATTCTATCATTAGCGGCGCAGCAACAGGTGGGATTCTAGCTGCACGTGCTGGACCGAGAGCAATGGCTCAAGCTGCGGCTGTCGGTGGTGTTCTGTTGGCCTTGATCGAGGGTATGGGTATCATGTTCACCAAGGCATTTGCGGCTCCAAGCCCGGATGATTTGCTCGCTCAACAGGCTATGGATCCAACGGCGCCTCCAACAGCTGGTGGTCTTTTTCCTAGTATATCTGGACCTGGAAGTTCCTTGCCATCGCCACCAACTCCATCTAATACTCCTCCGGAAAATGAGCCTTTCATCGGCGCGGATACAACTTTTTCAACGGAAACCTCCAGTCATAATAGCAGTCAGTCTTCGTCTTGGTGGCCATTTGGAGACGGCCAGAGCTCCTAAACCTACTATAAAACGGATCTCTTGATTTTCTGTCTCCTTTATTTCAGTGAGGGATCATTAAGTGCGCTGGCATCAGATTTTCACTCTTAACATAAAAGTAAACTGAAAAAACTTGGTTCCAAAGTGCAATTTGTGGTGTAAGATCTGTTCCTTATTCCGTGCTGAATTGCCAGAGTCAGGGACACGCCTCGGATTGTAGTGAAACCAAAGTGTGACGGGAGACAGACATACTTTTCCTCCCCCCTCAGCACGGAGACATCGAATTCAAGCTCCACTTTGTTCCATCGAATTCCTCCATCATTTACGGGTACATAGAATTATTTAGGGGGCAAAACATTGTTTTATTTCTCCGAAACAGTGGAGTTTTATAATTAACGACAAGCCTTTTGTCGTAAATTTTGTCGTAAAATATTTCGACAACTTACGACAAGCTACGACAAATTACGACAAACCTACAACAAATTACGACAACCCTACGACAGAATTTACGACAAAATCTACGACAAAATCTACCTTTGCGCGCACGCCGATCCTTCGTTTCAACATTAGCGATGACCGAGAGAATTTCAAATACTTTCATGTTGAAAACACGCAACAACTCCGTTTCATTGTCAACAAGTACACGTACACGTACCCAGTACGACGGAGGAAAAACACCATGCAACAATCATCATAAGAAAAAGATGGTAGATTTACACGCTCTCAAAGGCGAGATGATCCAGATTTTTGCTGGAAAATATGCTGGCCATGAAGCATGGATGGATAATTGGCAGACATGGCATTTCAACGAATGAACAGATACAGCGCAAGGGACTTGTGCAATCAACCATCTGGAAGAGCTCTTTTCAAGGTTTTGACCCCAACGCAAGACCGTATGGATAAGCGGACCAAAGAGGGTTGCTATGGGTGATCGGGAAATCTTTGCAGAAGATGGAGGGCTACGGGAAAAGGTTCCAAAAGGAAAAGTTGTTGTCTGCGACAGAGTCTACACTGACAAAAAGACGGCAGGCAACAACGCAACGCAAAGCTTGCCCTCCCCAGCCTTGCTGATCCTGGACCCTTCTTCGAATTCAAATCCAAGTTGCGAGCAAGACAGGAGAGTTTGAATGGAAGATCAAATCCTTGATGCGACTTATCATCATGGTCCGAAGAACCATGTGTTTGTGCTGGAGGCAGTTGCTGTGCTTGTTCAGTATGCTATGGATCATGGACATCCAATTTCCCCCGCAAATACTGGTGATCATTACCCAGATTCGGATGTTTTATTAAATTTGGATATATGAAATAAATTAGACTTGAACTATTTTAAAATATTTGATATTGCGGGCCTCACTTGAAAAAGCAACACTGTGGCTCATTTCGATTGATTTGTTTCACGTCATGCTTGCGCGCGAGCCGAGAATTCTCTCTACTTTTTTAGTTCTGTTGTAAATTTTGTCGTAAATTTTGTTGTAAATTTTGTTGTAGTTGCTCAGTTGATGGTAGAGAATTTTCGACAAAAAATTACGACAAACTACGACAAAAATTACGACAAAGTTTTGTCGTTAATCAATCACCAAATGTTTTCGGAGAAATAAACTATAAATATTAGTTTTGGACCCTGAAATAGTTAGGATCCCCTTAAATGATGAACATACATTGTTGAGCTAGAATTTGATAACCCCGTGCTGCAGGGGTGCAAAAATTCTTCTCGTGGCCCATCCGAAATGGGTTTCACACCAATCCGAGGGGTATCCCAGCCTACCGCACTTGCTGGCGACAAAATTCAGACCAGGATCAACTAGTCTCCCCCATGGCAGTACTACATGGCAATACCCGTACGAGAGAAAAAACACTCCAACCGCAGGCCACAATTTTATGTCGAAAAAGCCTGAAGTAAAGCTTTGTTTTGTATTCATAAAGTTACGAGCTATTCATCTTCTTCAACTGAGTTACGGTTCGTTGAAGTCTGTGTTGCATACCGTTGCATAAATCAAAGTTAGTCTTTCCAACCTTGTTATATGGCATGGACAAAACAGCCTTGACATCCTGAAGTGCAAATCGATAACGCTCAACACCTTCGAAAGCCTGGGCACGACGAATCAAGGCCTTCACGTTGTCAGGCTGAGCTTCTAAAACTGCTGTACAATCAGAGATTGTACCATCAAAGTTACTAATTTGCTTGTAACAAGCTGCATCAATTCATTCCGAGAAAGAACAATTAGTACATCATCCTTTAAAGATTGAAAGCCACATCGAGAAACAATAACCTACCTGCACGATTGGAATACGCCTTCACCGCTAAGTCAGAAGCGCCTTGTCCGTCCTTGACCAATTGATCAATGCACTTTTTGTAGTGACCTACTGCCTCTTCAAACTGAGCGTTTTGGTAGCATTCGTCTCCCTTTTCCTTGTGTTGTTCCACAGAACTGAGTCCAGCCTTTCGCTTTTTTTCCATGGTTTCCCATTTGGGCTTGACTTTCTTCATCATGGCTTCAATATCGGGATTTCCGGCATCAAGACGGCTTGCAAGTTCAAGGGTCTTCATTGCGTTCGGGATGTCCCCGTTTTGCAGAAGTTCCTGTGCTTTAGAGCAGTAGGCAGCCACTTGTTCTCCACGCTGTAGCTCTGTCACCTCCTTTTTCATGCGCTTCAAATCTGGATTGCTAGATTGAATTGCTAGACCACTTTCCAAGGTCTTGATACAGTTTGGAAGATCATTAATGGCCTTTTGAGCAGTTGCCAATCTGTAGTATCCCTTCACAAAATTTTTGTCTGCTAGGATGCAACTACGTCCAGCTTCAGCCATCTCCTCGAATTCTCGCAGCTTCTCGTGACAAGCGGCCATATTCGACCAGTAGGATGGGACTGTGGCATCAATTGCCACAGCCTCCTTGTACTTGCCGATAGCTTCCTTGTACTTTCCGCCTTTGAAGAATGCGTTTCCTTCTGCTTTGATTGCTTCGGCTTGCGCGTTGGTCATCTTGAACTATATTTCCAGAGTGCAATTTGCACCGAGAGTACTGCAGGTTGCTTGCTTTGTTGCAAATTACTGTATTGTAGTGATGATCGGCAAACGATGAGCCAAAAGCCAGCCCTAGAAAACACAGTACCAGGTATCGTACTTTTTGTACGTACTGGTACGAGTGCAGATGTTTCAAAACACACAGTATTGTATGTACTGCTGGTAGGTAGTTTTGTTTCTTCTTTTCGCTTCGATCTCGGAGTCATCCGCCGTGTCGCATACGACATAAATCTTCGTCCAGATCCATCCAACAACAATGCACGGTGTACTATCGCAGATAGCCAACTGGCGCCTTCCGTTCTGGTTCTTCTGCTTGGTGTTTCTTTGGAGTGACTCAGGTGTGAAGCTGAAATAACTCTATCGTTCTGTCAGTATACTTGCACACAGGTTTGATATGAGGTTGCTGTGGTGCAATACTGTGGAGAGTCAATATTGAATCATCCATTGGTTCGACCGCTTTCTTCCGTCTACCCTCTGGATAATACATACTGCAGCATTGAAAACTAATAAAGTTCCTACCAAATCTCACCAAATCTGGAGCCAGCCTTGCCTACCAAGGGAGACCCTTCGTCTTTTCCTACCTTCAGCAAGAATGATAAGCAATGGGGAAATTACAACCATAATCTTGAAGTGTTTCAAACAAGATCGGAAAGTCAGGAACACCCGGCAGGGAGATGAGTCAAAATTGCAAATCCCCTGGAATTTTGATTCCCCCTTCTTCAGGGTCCCAAAAATTTCGAACGAGTCTTCGCTGTTTATCACCTGCTCAGCGATTGGTTCGGTGGAAAAAGAAAAAAATAGAACAATGGTTTTGAATATTTGTAGGAATTCTACATACATTTTTCATTTTCGATTTTGCAGCACTAGTAGTCCAAAATGAAAATACATTTTGCAACACGAGCATTTCTCTCAACATGTGTTCCTACGACGTAGCAGTACCACAAATAGTTTTGTTAAATGAATTACTTAAGGAAATTTTCAGTGGTGTTTCAAAATAACTCTGGTACAATAGCCCAGTGGTGTTAGAATTGACAGAATTGTATCAAGAACGGTTTTCGTGACTCGGAACAATACGATTCAAAATAGGATTTTTGGTGGCTAGGGTATGAGCTCCTGCATTGATAACGATCTATCGATACTATAGCAAACCATACATCAGTATTACTATATTAATTCATATCCATTTAGGATTCTGTTTGGATTGTGAGCTGAATTGTATTGCCTTCAGATCTGGAAACATTCACAGATCCCATTAGCATTCGCGTTGCTCTTTCCCTAGACCTCCGTATCGATTCAACACAGAGTGTCAAAAAGGATAAAACGGACCTTCTTTCAGTTCCATAATATCGAAAATAAAGCTTTCCAAACTTCCCAGATTATTCTAGAAGCTGGTCTGTCTGCGTTCCCGCACTTCCGAACCGTCCAATTGTACAGTCCTATTAGTCATACGGGAACCTGTATTCCATGGATCAGATCCAGGGAATATTTAAAAGTCCTAATAATCCTCCAGTTCTCCATTTCTCAAAATTGAAATTTGAGTATCGCCAACACTCCTGCCGTTTCGACATCGGCCAGTGGTGGAGGTGGAGAACAAGGTCGAGCACTTTACGGGAAAGTCGTGGTAGCAGTGGCCGTTATTTGCCAAATTGAAATGGATCTCGGAAACCCGCTTTTCCAGGTCGGTATAATCATAATCTTAAATTTTTCGAATTGTTTTTCTGTCCGTGTATAACAAATAGGCCGTGTGTCCACATGGTTGCCGTGAGTTTCCCAACATGTCCATGTGTACACACACGTGTCCGTGTGTACACTTAGTACACGTCTATCAATGGCTACGTCAGCTTGTTTGTCCTTCGCTCGGATTGGGAGGGGTATGTAGAAGGTAGTAGAGATGGCGGTAATGGTGTAATGAGTGGCTATTTACTGAAGCCCACTCCACGTGCCAAAGTGCCGACCGTTTGATGGAAGGTCAGCCCAGAGGGTGGGTGTGGTGGGAAACTTTTTCTATTCTATGCCTAGTCAACGTTGACGTTTGCCCATGTTGGTGGTGTCGGGGTGGCGGCGGGAATTGATGGAATCAGTACATTGGGACAAGATTCTGGCCAGGATGAATAGCGTATTCATGGTGTCGCGATCGACGTTGGAGCAGAAAAGGGCCATGGCACGAAGGGCGGAGCGGGCGCTGACGTCGGAAGGAAGGAAACCGATGTCGGCGCCGCAGGCGGCTGTAACTTGGCGTAATGTAGTGGTGATGTCGGCCGATTTTACGGAGTAATGGCGGCCGTTTTGGAAATAGGTTGCAATGATGGTGTGCATGTTTGCAGTATGTTGTCGGAGATGGAGGATACGGCGGATCATGGAGCGGACGGGGCAGAGGACATCATGTCCGCTCCGACCGTGACAGATGACTTCGCCACGGACACCATTCTTTTGCGTGGTGAATGTAAGGGCAACACTGGTGGCAGCCCATAATTCAGCAGGTGTGGTAGTGAGAAGGTCGAGGTGGCGGACGCCAACTTTGAGCTGAACATCAAGGAACCGGAAAGGTGTGTCATCGTTTGTGGTGCCTGTGTATTTGCCGGGACGGAGGAGAAAGAAGAAGGCCACGATGATCATGTCAGAAGTGGCCTGAACTTTGCAAGATTGATTTCAACTTTGGTTGGCAATATACTTAATGATACCGACTGGGATGGGTTTCACCCGATGAGGCGGTGGGTCTTCGCGGGTGTACGTCTGAACATCCGAGTCAGGCGGAAGTCAATGGAACCCGTGCTGTCTTTCCGAGCATCCCTGGCCCCCATGCTGGCCATCGTCTGGCCCACCAAGCATATGGCGTTTGAAATCGTTCCAGATTGGACGCATTCACCGGGGTACTTTCCTGGTCGACGGCAGTAGCATGTGGCAAAGACTTGGAGAAATTGAACGGGATCAGGGACGCGGAGGAGGGGGTCGAGTCCAAGTTCTTCACAGAACTTGGTCCAAAGCTCCCAGTGCGCGTCAGCACAATCTTGAGTTCCTCGAACGATACCCTTTTGTACTGTTTGCTGGCTAATATCGAGATCACGGCAGAAAGAATCGGCGGCCGAACGTGGTGCAGCTCCCAGCAATTCATCTGTGGATATGTAGAGTTAAAATAAGCGAGGAACGCAGCGTCAGAGAGATGCCACAGGCGTGACGCGTCGTCACTAATTTTATTCAGGAGTCCTGGGAGATAGTCGTGAAACGGCACATAGCGGAACACCCGTTGATGGTGTGACTGGAGGCGAAGCAGGGCGGCAGCCGGTCCTGTCGTAGTGGTGGATCCCTTGCCAAAATTGGGCAGCTGTGTTGTCGTGGAAGCTGTGGATGGTGTGCTCCCAAGCATCGGCAGCAGTAGTGATGACATCGTGCTGGCACACCATGGCGGACAGTTCCAAGTCGCCAATGCTCAACAAACCCCGTGGATTATCGAATGTTATTAACCTGGATTGGACATGCTTGGGGTAGCGATGCCGCCAGAGTATGGGTCGCAGACCAGAGGGGGTATTGAGGAAAGCAACACCGCCCATCCCCTGCCCTGAAGCGTCTGTAGTTCCAATAACACTCGGATCTTGAGGAATGAGTTCGGCTATCCTGGTGGGACGGTCGAAAAGGGTTTTGGACAGCTGACGGAAATCGTCCAGGAATTGGTGAACCATGGCATTCAGGAGAAGACGATGGTCCGGGGTTTTGGTCCGAAAGGCTTCTTGAAGTGGGCTAAACAGGCCGCGTGCACCTGGTATTCCAATCACCATGGATCGCAATTCACCCAGCAAACGATGCCAGTTCTTGGCACTGATCCGCTTCTTTGTGGGGCCAATGCTGGCCAGGATGGTTTGGAGCCGTTCAATTCGATGTGGCGGAAGGCTGATGGTTTTGTCAACGGAATCCAGGAGCCATCCGAGTACCACTTTCTTGGTAGACCAGCTGGCGTCGCCCTTCTTGAGCTTTTTGACGGAAGCCGGCTCTTGACGAAAGGGGGTGTCTCTGTTGGAGTCCCAAGGTCGAAAAACACTGTCGAGCATGTGAAGAAGAGTGCGCATGGCTTGACGACGGTCGTTTTTGGTACCTTGGACCAAAGAGATGAAGTCATCAACGTAGACGTCAGCGTATTGCATTGGCCGACGGAACCGGGTTTGATGGATGGGCTGGGAAGGTGGCGTGGCGATAGGTTCATCCACACGGTGGGTTGTCGGAGGTAGACTCGAAGCAGGCTTCTCAAGTGCTGGTGGATTCAGGGCAAGCTCTCTAGGCGATGAGGTGGCTCTTGGGGGCGCTGTTTGAGGTGTCGGTTCATCAGGTCCGCTCCAGTTTCGGTGACGGCCGAGAAGTATGGTGGCGAATTGACCCAGCCCATAGGGAGGACCAAGGGAAAGGCAACCATGGCTTCTTTGTTGGGGTGTTGCGGGAGTAGGACGGCCAGATGTGGGACGGCATAAGGTGCCAATTGAATGCGGTAGAAACCATCAGCAATGTCAATCTTGGAGATGTAAACAGGCCCATGTAGAGGGTTGGCTTGTAGGATTCGTTGCAGGATGCGGTGAAGGGCACGTCCAAATTGCATGGAATCTGATGGCGCAATTGGGACGGATTCTTGATTGATGCCAAAGAAAGAAAGGTCAACTATCAGTCGGGGCCGTCTGTCCCGTTGTGGAACTACGCCAAGAGGACTGAGTCGCAAGTTCTGTAGATGCCGCACGAGTCGATAGGGTAGGATGGTCCAGAATTTCTTGTTGAGAAAATCAGTGAACTCTTCTCGGATGAAGGACACTTCATCTTTTGTAGACTTGTGAGGACCTCGGGCGACGGCGTCATCTTGTCGTTGTGCGCTCCAAGGTAGTGTAGACATCGGTATGGGTGCGCCATGATTTCGAAGGTGATCGAGGAGGTGTGCAGCTGGATGTGCCAGATGCCTAACATTGGGCGCAAGAATATCTGGAGCTGATCCTCTCTGTGCCGTAGCAAACGTCTCCCAGGAGTTACTTAACTGAAATTCATGAACGGCCATACAAATCTTCTTACCTAGTTCATCATCGTGGATGCGGAACTGTTGTGCAGGTGGACTTGTGCTGAGGCGGAAAGGCGGAATTGTGGAAGTGGTTGGGAGACGAGGTACAGTGGCAGGTAAACTAGTGTTGTTATTAGTTGCCGCTGCCCCCATCACGTTGCTAGATGATGGAGCAGATGGCTTAGATGGGAACCGTAGCTGGGGGTACCATCTGCCGAAGCTTCATTCTTCAGCGTAAGCTTTCTTGCACCACTCGACAAGCTTTGCTGTGTCTTGTGCGGAGTGGGCCACATGGTCGGCCGCTCGAGGACACTTTTCCCAGCATTTTCCCTTGACGTGATAACCGACACACATTTGCACCTTGGTGCCATTGTGGGTGATCTCAGGCGGCGGAGATCCAGCTTTCTGTTCGGCCTTTGGGACAGCGGTGGCAAGGGCCAATTTCCGGAACTGGGTGAGCTCTGGAACATGTGTGGAGTTCTTCACTTGGAGGCTGTTCTTTCCCTTGGATTTTGGGTCATCCTCGCCTGGCTTAATCCTCCACCCTGTGGTGGAAAGAAACCATTGAAGAATGGAGGATACCCCAAGGAATGAGGTGTGAGACTTGAGGCACCGGAGCTGTCAGAAGACATTGGGACCATGCCTGGGGGCATCATGTAGGGCAGGTATCCCCCTTTCCATGGAGCTGTAGGGAATTGGGCCGCTGGTTCATATATAACTGAATCATTAATTGGTTTTTATGCTACTTCTAGAGTATCCAACTGGCGGTGTAATACGGCTGTAGAGGCCAGGAACTATGCTGCTTTTAGTCAGATAAGTTTGAACCACGTTGAGGCATTTTTCAAGAAAAAAGTTGCTCTAGTCAATCATGTCAGGGGACAGATTGGCGCTCCCACTGTTGGTGGGGAAGTACAAACAAGATGCAAGAATATCTCCTGGGATACAGAGGAATTTTGTGGGTACCTTTTCCAAGGAAAGAATTGGATGCAATTCTCTCAAGTCATCTGTCAATGGGCAGATTGGCGCTCCCACTCTGTTGGTGGGGATTTGGAAAGGTAGACCAAGAAAATCGGTCTGCTGTATCTTTTCCAGAGAAAGAAACAAGACAAATAAACTGTACAACATGGAGGAAATGCAAGCATTGGGGTTGTCCTTCACCAGGTCAACTGTCAATAGGGTGGTCAAATTCGAGCGGGTTGTTGCCACCAGACCTTCCTGAGCGTGCTCAGGTGCAGTCCTTGTCGATTTCAAAGCCATCTCTTGTGATTTTGCTTCATTCGAGCCCATGGTTGTTGGCCACTTCTGATATGCAGCGCAGACATCATAAAATAGGATTGTGGTTGTGTGTAAATAGTTGAAAATTTTGTTCTGGTTCCGACCTTGTTTTGTGGACCATCCAATTGAGAATCTGTCCAAAGAATGATCAATGGTTGGTGGAAACGCCGTTGTCAAAGCATGCCAAACAATTTCAACAAATTCCATGGGGTCATTGCTTGGATTGAGTTTCTTGGGAGAGGCAACAAGCGGCTGTCCTTTCAGTGCGCCATCCTCGGCGATTTTGGAAGGAGGGGGTTGCTTGTGTCCGCTCTTGGGAGGTATCAAAGCATGCCAAACGGTTTGAAACAGTTCCATGGGGTCATCGCTTGGATCATCCTTTACCAAGTCAACCGTCAGTTGGGTGGTCGAATTTGAACGGGTTTTTTCCTCCAGGCCTCCCTGACCTTGATCAGTTGCAGCCTTTGTCAAGTTCAGAGCCATCTCATCTGATTGATCATCATCAGAGCCCATGGTTGAAGTCCTCAATCAAGCACTTTTAACAGGAAAACCGGTGTCGCTACACGGTCATTGCGTAGATAAAGTACTAGAGAAGATGACTTTTTGTTTTTGCAAAATGCGTGATTTTTGTTTTTTGATTTTTGAAACTGAATTTTATATTGGGCCGCTGGTTCGCTCCAGTAGTTGGCAGGAAGCGCAGCAATCCAGCTGTCGGAGCGCTGTCGGATCTGTACCAGGATGTCGACAAAGTTGGGTGGATCCGGCTGGTAGGACATAGAGCTCTCCACTGACTGCCAGTAGTTAACCATGCGGACTTGTACTGCCCTCAAGAAAAGAGCCGGCTTTGGCTCTGGTCGTGGCAACTTGTCGAGTAGGGCAGTGAAGTTGGCTTCATCTTGCATGTATTGCTGTAGGAACATTCCGTACGCTCGTAGGAATGGATGGCTGAATGGCAGCAGGACTTGCCACAAGGTTAGTAGGCCCATGAGATGACTTCGTGCCTTGGAGAAGGTGTCCGGAATGTGGACAGTAGGCTTTCTCAAGGCTATGGCGTCTTGTAGAGAGAACCCTGATCCCCCGTGGACTTCCGCGAAAGCTGCTGCCCTTTCTCGGGCCGCCTTGGTCACTCCAACATCGGAGCCTCCATAGGACGGCAGGACAATAGAGAAAGGGTGAATTCCTTCTTCAAGGTCGTCAGTGTCGTTGCCACCAAGTTTCACCGCCTTCACTTTCTTCACCAAGTCCGGAGTGACAATGGGTACAATTCCGAATCCCCCTGTCGCTTCGCTGCTCGCTTGGGACCTGAGGGCGCTTTCCAAAACGTCAAGGTCGGCTTTCTTGGGCTGAGAAGCCCATTCGGACCAGACAGGTGGGCACTGGCTAGTGTCTTGGACGTGGAGAACGCTGAGGAGCTTGTGGAGCATGGGACCAAAGAATTTGTCCACACTCCTGGGGGCCTTGGCCTTGGCTTCTCGTGTTGTCGCTTCGGTCTGGGCGTCCTTTTGGGTTCGGACCAGTTCGTTGACTGATTGCGCCTGGCTCTGCTGAATTCCTAGCATGGACGGAAGTGAAGCTTCCTTCAGCCCTGGAAGATGCTGTTCCAACAGCTCTCGGCGTTGCACCTTGAGCGCTGCATCATCAAAAGGTCTATCAGGCAATGTTGTTGCAAGAGTTGGTGGAGCGCCCGCTCCTGCTCTAACCAGTGACAGTAGTAGCCAATCGGTGAGCTCGGGGCACTCAATTTCGTCTCCAGTGTTTTTGATGGCTGCTGCCAAGTTGATGAAACCCTTCCAAACTGGAACTTGGCGTCCCAGAACCAGATGCACATAGCGGTGCGGCAAAGGGATGTAGTGACGGGTCTTCGCTTGCTTGATGTTGGCATCCGTGTCCTGGAAAGGTCCAATGGAGGAGTCGTCCGGATTGAGATGGAGAATGTCCAGAGCTCGCTCCAGATCCTTCGGGACGTTTTCCTCTGTTCCAGTTCCTGGCGACATAAAGGCGTCCTGTGGAAATTCTACAGTGGTGATGGTGTTGGCAACCACATCGCCGGTGAACGCGTAGGCCTTTCCATCGCAGCGGCTTGGGACCCCAGGCAGTGACTTGTAGAAGGCTGGTGCATGGACCAATAGGTAGAACAAATTCCCATTGTCATTGATGAGCGACAGGTAGGCCATGGGATAAGCGGAGGTAGACAGTCCGGCGCTGTTGTACAATGATTGAGCAGGTGTAGGAGTGTCGTAAACTCTGTAGGCTTGCATGAGTGCTTGGTAGTCTTGTTGATGGGGGTCCAAAGTGGTGTTGCCGAAAAATTCATGGTAAGCGGTCAGCTGTGGTGTTGGTGCTGCTGGTGCAGCTGCGGGTGCTGTTGGCGCTGCCACAGTCGGCGCTGTTGCCGCGGCCATGATTACTTGAAAATTTTTCTATTCTATGCCTAGTCAACGTTGACGTGTCTTACAACTTCGATCCTGATGCGTTAGGAAGGAGAAAAGACAAGAATATGCGATCGCTGTTGTTGAGGACTCGCTGCGGGATCTCTGCTGCGCGCACCGCGCTCGTTCAATAGTCACTTTGTTCTTCGCTCCGTCCACCTCCCCCACTACGACAATGTGTACACTTGGTAGGTTAATACATGTGTACACAAGCACGAAAACAGGTTATGAAAGTAAAATTTCGGAGAAACTCACAGAGAGGCGTCTGTCTGTCTGCTCTAATTTTGTTCATCATATAAAAAATAACCATCCAATTTCTTATATATTCATATTTGGGGGACTGGCGTTGGAAGCTGTGGAGATACACAAATCAGCAAGTGTTCCAGCATGTCACCTATATCCGAAAATTACCCCGTCTTGCTGATTATTCAAGGCGTATGACGTTTCTTGCTGCATTTTAGGATGGCACTGAGAGATCCAAAGGGACTTGTTGCGTCTCCACCTTCTGTGGTGGTCAGAGTTATAAAGACATCTCGTGCTGACATCAATTCGCTTTTGGGGGTAGTTATAAGTTACAATGTCGAACGCGAAAGGTATCTTGTCTACATGGCAGCAAGTCAGTCCACCATGGCACTGAAACAAGAAAACCTGACTAAGGCAAACAGGATCGATACATATCGCTGCCAATGGCAGCAAATGCGGAATGATCCGAGAGTGCGGGAGAAAGTGGCGTACTACATATCTATTGCCCGGCAATTTGTATCACCTTTTGATTTGTTCAGAGTGATATCAATATTCACAATCACATGGTTCTACCTGTTGTTTCACTTCGGCTTTGTTAAATCAATTATGGTGACATCGTTGACGATTATATTTCTCATCGTAACTTCGCCAGATATATTGTCGGAGAGTCCTTCTAGCGCCATTTGGAGAAATTTCCCTCGCAGAGTTAAGGGAATGTTAGGTAAGCAACAGGACACCATTTCTATTGGATTGTTTGTTTCTATGAGATGAGAGCTCTCACGTGTATATTCCAGAGCAGCAAATACCACTTTTGAAAGGAAGGATGACAGAAAGGTCGGCTGCTGCCTTCGTTTTGATTCTTTCCATTGTTTGTGTTCGTAGCTTAAATACACAGAAACATTCTACGGATTCGATACAAACGTTGTCTTCATGCCGGATTGAGTATGAAATTCTAAAGAAATACTACGAACTAGGGTTCGAAGACGGTTCCGGCGGCAACAGTCGTGGAGCTTCAATGATCCTGCAGAACGATTCCAACGCCAAAGAGATTGTTTCATCCTTTGACTCGGAGATCGTTGATTCGAGTCTTTTGGAAAAGTTTGCAAGCATATCCAGATTTGCATCTATCGTTTACCTTTATCAATCAATCGCGGAATTGGGGATCGATCAAACTACAGATCTCTTTTCCTTTGGTCAACTTGCCGCAAATTTGCAGCACCATACAAAACTATGGAAAAAGTGCGTTCTGTCGCTTTGTTTGTATAATATACTTAGGGATTATTTGTAGTTCCAGTTGGTCCTAGTTGTCCTGGCTGCACAGGATTCCAAACATTACATTATTCGATTTGCATTAGTGTTAGGAGGCGTTGGTGGAGGCAATGATGCTGGGGGTGGAGGTGGCGGCCTGGTCGGCGGCAATGGAGGCAGAGAAGCTGGGGGAGGTGGCGGTATTGCGTGCATTCCTGGCATTACTGCATGCGACTGGTTGAATATAACTCCGGGTAGCGGCGGTACAGGAATTTGGTTGTGATGTTGCTTTTGTTGTTGTGATCGTCGCTGAGCAGCCAGCATTCTCTCTGCCCTGGAGCCATGCCGCTCTATAGCAGAACCAGAGGGACGACCAATAGATTCCGAGAACTCCACAGCAGTGTCCTTCTTGAACGCATATTGCACAACAATTTGGCGGTTCCCCAGAAATTGCCCGTTCATACACTCGATTGCATTATCTGAACTTTCGAAGCAATCAAACGAAACAAAACCGAACCTATCACATTGCATACTTGTTAGTTTCGGGCAAGACTCTGGATAGCATTGAACTGAGCGTATCCGCACTTACCCTTTCGATTCATTTGTAGCTTCATCCCTCATAATCCGCGGTTGTCGGATCAATGTTCCGAAGGATGAGAAGGTATCATAAAGCAAATTCTCATCGACGTCACCTGGATCAAGATTTCCGATGAACAGATTGGCACCTACATCGCGCGAGAGCTCTGCCTTGTTGTTCAAGGAACTCTTCGAAACCTTTAATGGACGGCCATATACCTTGATCATATTCATTATTGTTATGGCGTAATCGGCATCAATAACATCAAGAAACTCAATAAATCCATATCCATTATGTGCTTGAGTAACCTTGTCTTTCGGCTGAATGAAGTGGGCATGAGCTCTAAATACTCAACAAACAGGAAAGTGATGCGCGAGTTCGTACCATGTATACAGACTTGACTCTCCCAACCTGCACAAACAACTCCATCAGCATATTTTCTGTGCAGGCGGTATCTAGGTTTCCAACATAAACGGTTGCATCTTGATTTCTGTGCTCAACAGGGGCCAAGCTCGCCATATGTGATATGAAAAAGTCGTTGCTCTCGCAAGAACTTTGACTTGCTACAGTCCCGGTATTGTACCTATCACTACAGCAGCTAGTAGTGTTGTTGTCGAAGCTCAATCAAGGGCTGTTGCAGTGGAGAAGTGGGATTCTCCTGCAGCGCCCCCTTTTCATTTCGGCTTTGCAGGGAGATGAGTCAAAATCGCAAATCCCCTGGAACACCTGGCAGAGTACCTGGTACTTAAAGGGAAATGAGGAGAAGCAACCAAGTTGGTGGCTTCTCCTCGTTTTACTCGTTTTCGAAATTCCCACAAAGATGTCCACCAATAAATCTATTATCTCCCCCACATTATCGGCAATGTTTTATCGCCAATCAAGTCTTGGACTGGCGGTTGCCCCAAGATCAGTCTCTCAGCGAGCGTCAGAAGTTTTCTTACACCTCTTCGTACATTCTGGTTTATTTTATATTTTTTGTGAGATTTTAAGCGAGCCTGTTTCGCCAAATTGAAAATCATGTGATTGTGAATATCATCCCCAAAAATTCAAGTTCATTTAACAATATATATAACTGAATCATTAATTGGTATTTATGCTACTTCTAGAGTATCCAACTGCCGGTGTAATACGGCTGTAGAGGCCAGGAACTAGGTTGCTTTTGGTCAACAAAGTTTGAACCACGTGGA